AACAACAATCATTTTACCCGAACGCTCAGTGTTCTCCCAAGTGCCAGGGTTTTCATGCGACGCCAGCCAATACCCCCACTTCGTGGGGGGGCAATGCAAGCTCTACCAAACATCCACACGACTCTCGGGAACCACCCACACCCAGCTTCCCGCCCTATGACGTCAGGACACTTCACTTCGTGGCGCGCGGACGATCGTGGATACTACACTGGCGTGGAGTACACACCCGCAGAGGTTAATCACTTGTTTGGGCCCCGCATGTGCCCCGCATCGTGCATTTGTTGCGCATGATATGAGAGCAAGACAGAGAGAGAGAGAGAGCAAGACAGAGAGACAGAGAGAGAGAGAGAGAGAGAGAGCAAGACAGAGAGCCAGAGGAGAGCTACGGTGCGATTCGTGTGATTTTATTATGCGCGGTGCTAAAATTCTTAAAAACCCAATGATTTTTGGAGATTTCGGCGTGCGCGCGCGAAGAAAAAACGAATATGTCCCGCATGGTATTATTTGACAGGGATGATGGCCCTGGCAGGTGCGCAAACGTTGTCGCAGAAGTTCGAAAAAGTTGCTCGCAAAAGCCCGTTTGACAGAATTGTTTAAAAAGTGTTGGTTTTCCTACGAATCCGCAAGAGCGCGCGGAAGAACATTTTGACAATTTTTTCTTAAAAAACCATTGGGTTTTTGATGTTTTTATGTTAAAATCGCTTACGAAACCTAAGGTTTTGGAAGGATTTCGTCTTGCGCGCACGAATGTCCACTTTACCTTATTTTTTGCAAGGGATTCTTGCAATTTGATCAAGTAAGAACAAGAATTTTCATTTTATAGTGTTTTTTGCAAGGGAAAACGGAGTACAACAAAACAACCGGATCCGGTAATAATTCACTTTTCTGAAGCTTCCTCACGAAAATGATGAAAATGTAGCTGCGGCCTAGGCGGAGGGGGGTCGCGCACCAGGGGCCCCAACAATAATTATTCTTTAGAAGTAATAATGTTCAACAACAACAACAACAACAATCACTTTAGCACGTGGGGACACTCCGTTCTCACCAGTGCCAGGGTTTTCATAGGAGGCGGGCAATACCCCCACTTTGTGGGGGGGCCGGTTCAAGCTCTACCAAATTTCCAAACGACTCTTCGCCACCACCCACACCCAGCTTCCCGCCCTATGACGTTCGGACACTTCACTTCGTGGCATGCGGACGACCGTGGCTACTATTCAGGGCCCCGCGGCCGACGACGACGGCGTGCGCGCGCGAAGAAAAAACGAATGTGTCCCGCATGGTATTATTTGACAGGGATGATGGCCCTGGCAGGTGCGCAACCGTTGTCGCAGAAGTTCGAAAAAGTTGCTCGCAAAAGCCCGTTTGACAGAAATGTTTAAAAAGTGTTGGGTTTCCTACGAATCCGCAAGAGCGCGCGGGATGAGATTTTGACGTTTTTTTGTTGAAAAACCAGTGGTTCTTTGATGTTTTAATGTTAAAATCGCTCCGAACACTAAGGTTTTGGACGGATTTCGTCTTGCGCGCGCGAATGTCCACTTTACCTTATTTGTTGCAAGGGATTCTTGAAATTTGATTATATTAGAACAAGAAATGTCATTTTATAGTGTTTTTTGCAAGGGAAAACGGATTACAACAAAACAACCGGATCTTGATCAACTCGAATTACCTGAGGCTTCCTCACGAAAATGATGAAAACGTGGCTGCGGCCTAGGCGCGGCGGGGGGGGCGCGCACCAGGGGGCCCAACAATAATTATTCTTTAGAATTAATAATGTTCAACAACAACCACAACAACAACAACAACAACAACAACAACAGTCAAAGTATGACTGTTCGTTCTTATCTGCCCGAGTGTCCGTCAACGCGTATTTCTTCAACCCTCGATACACGCCCTCTTCGTTTTCGATCGTACCCCTTTTGGGGGGTATACATTTCTTCCCTGCAGGCCGGGGCCTGGCAAGCGGCGGGGCGGCCGCGGACCGTCGGCCTGGCCAGCGGCAGCGCTGATCGGCGGCAACCTGACCCCAAGAGGGACGGACAGGGGACCGACCACGACGACGACGGCGACGACGTCGACGACGATGACGTCGACGACGACGACGGCGACGACGGCGACGACGGCGACGACGACGACGATGAGCGAAACCGAAGGCGAGAGAGAGAACGACAGCAGGGCAACGAAAGGCACGAAGTAGGCCACGAAGGGCGACAGCGGGGACACGGAGGGAATGCGTATGGGGCCACGAAGAGCACGAACGAGCGGGGGCCACGAAGGGCAGATAATGCGGGGCCACAGAAGGCAACGACGGGGCCACTGAGGGTAGCAACTGGGCCACGTAGGACAGCGAGGGGGCCACGAAGGGCGACAGCGGGGCCACGAAAGGCATGCACATGGCGCCACGACAGGCGCGAACGAGCGGGGGGCCACGAAGGGCATACGTATATCGGGCCGCGGAAAGCAAGGACGGGACCATTGAGGGCAGCAGCGGGGCCACGAAGGGCAGCGAGGGGGCCACGAAGGGCGACAGCGGGGCCACGAAGGGCATGCATCTGGGGCCACGACGGGCGCGAACGAGCGGGGGCCACGAAGGGCATACATATATTGGGCCACGAAGGGCAGCGAGGGGGCCACGACGGGCTGCAACGGGGCCACGAAGGGCAGCGAGGGGGCCACGAATGCCTGCAACGGGGCCACGAAGGGCAGCGACGCCTGGCTGGGGTCAAATGGGATGCCGCGCGCGGGCGCACGGAGCCCAAATGGCAACCTGAGGAGGAGGAGGAGTTTGAGGAGGAGGAGGAGGAGGAGAAGGAGGAGAGGAGGAGAAGGAGGAGGAGGAGGAGCGGGAGGAGGAAGAGAAGGAAAAGAAAGCGGAGGAGATGTAGGAGCTGGAGGAGAAGCGAGGAGGAGGGGATGGACGGGGGTGGTTAGGAGGAGACGAGAGCACTGAGAAGGAAGAGGAAAGGCCGGATATGGACAAGGAGGAGGAGGAGGAAGAGGAGAAGGAGGAGCAGGAGGATATAAGAACAGAAGGAGCGGCCCGGGGTAGAAGGGGTAGGAGGAGGGGAAAGAGGAGGAAGATGGAAGGGAGCAGTATGATAAGGAGGAGAGGAGGAAAAGAAGAAGTGGGGGAGGAGGAAGGAGGAGGAGGGGAAAAGGAGGAGGAAAAAGAAGAGGAGGGCATAGGAGGAGAGGAGGAGGAGGAGGCCGAGGAGGAGGAGGACGAGGAGGAGGAGGATGGAAGGGGGAGGGGGGAGGATGACGGGGATGAAGAGGGACAGAAGGGGAGGAGGAGAGGAGGAGGAGAGGAGGAGGGGGGAGGAGGAGGAGGAGGAGGAGGAGGAGGAGGAGAGGAGGAGGAGGAGGAGGAGGAGAGGAGGAGGAGGAGGAGGAGCGGGAGGAGGAGAGGGAGGAGGAGGGGAAATGAGTAAAGAGAAGGGGGAACAGGAGGAGGAAATAGGAGGAGGAGAAGGGAGAGAGGAGAGGAGAGAGGAACGGAGGGGGGAGGAGGAGGGAGAGGAGGCAAAGGATGAGGACACGAGGAGGACGAGGAGGAAAGAGGAGGAGGACGACGACGAAGTGGAGGGCCCTCACCCAGCCCGTCTGAAGAGAAGCAAACTCGTCGCACTCGCTGCCGCCGACGCCCCCCCCCATGCCCGGTAAGGAACTTGTGCTCCGTGTTGTTCGCGGCCTCGACAGCGCGCTTACGCGGGATGAGCAGGGGGATGTGGGGGAGCAGGATGCGGGGGCGGAGGAGGAGAAGGAGGACGAGGAAGGAGCAGGAGCGGGAGCAGCAACAGGCGAGGGAGGGAGAGGAGGAGGGTGAGGAGGAGGGAGAGGAGGAGAGGGGCGAGCTAGGTGCGCCTGCGCCTCATGTGACATCTTATCCTCCCTCCCATCCCTCCCCATGGCACTGATTTTTCTCTATCCGCGGACGCGTGTCGTAGTCGACCTGCGACTCACACAGAAAGAGAACTTCGTGTTATGCGCAATGAGAAAAAGGGAGCTGCGTGCACAGGAGGAGGTGGCGGGTGAGCAGGAGGATGAGCGGGAGGAAAAAATGAGGACGAACAGCAGCAGCAGGAACTACAGCAGAAGGAACGGGAGGAAAAGGAGGACCAGGGGAAGGCGGAGGGGGGGAAATGAGGGGGGCGACAACGAAGAAGAACGACTAGGATTCAGAAAAGTGGCCCGCGCAGGGGCGAGACGAACAAAAGCAGCAGGAACTGGTGTGGAAGGAGCGGGAGGAACAAGAGGACCAGGGGAAGGCGGGGGAGGGAAAGTGAGAGGGGGACCACAATGAAGAAAGCCTCGGATTAAGAACAGTGGCCCACGCTGGGACGAGAGCGCCAGTCTGAACGGCGAGAGCAAAGCAACGATCCAAAAATGGGGCACACGCTGCAGGTGGAGCACCATTCTGAAACACTGCAAACCATCAGATTGGAGACAAGCATACAAAAAAAACAAGTTGCAAATTTCCTCCTCCTTCAGCTCCTCCTAATCTTCCCCGCCATCCTCCCCCAAGTGTTCCCCGAAGGGTTTCCACAACGCCTGGGGGAACACATGGTCTGATAGCTTGGCAGAGATCTTGCCACAGCGCTCGGCCAGATGGGCGAGTCCAACAGGCAGGGGGCCGCGGTGGTTCGCCGTAGGCGTCTTCGACAAATGTCAATATCCAGTATTTGTATCCTCCAGCCTCCCGCTACTGGGTCTGATCGGCGATGCTGGGCGACTGGGGGCATTCCCCCACCTGAACGTTGTCCCAGAGCTTCCGGGTCATAACTCGGATCTCCGGCGTCCGTTCGGGACGATCCAGGCAAAACCGGAACGCCGTCGGCGAGGCGCAGCTGCTGGAGCGCATAACGAGGCTGGAAATCGTCCAGGAACCTCGACCCTGTCGCCCCCCCCTTTTAAGGGAGGTAAGGAACAGCGTCGAACCCCAGAGGTCTCGACACCTTCCCAAGGACCAGCTGCTCCTCTTGAGTCAGTTTTGAAGATCCCGAGGCGCTGGATGCACTGCGAGGGCCCCCGGAGGCCGATAATTGCAACGACAAAAAACTCCCGTCGCGAGGTCTTCATGACTTGAGGGGGTCGGAGGAGGGAGGGCGGGAGGGAAGGGCACTGGATACACTCGCGCGATCAGCGGGCCGCCGCGGGCACAAGGAGGGAGGAGCACTGGCGGCGGCCGAAAAAAGGCAGGGCGCCAAGGGGAGGAGAAAGGGAGAGGGCGTGGGCGCCGCGCGCGGGGGCGAGGGAGTGACGGGAGCAGAGGAGTGGGAGGAGAACACCTCCTCCTCCTCCTCCTCCTCCTCCCTCCTCCTCTCCTCCTCCTCCTCCTCCTCCTCATCATCATCATCATCATCATCACATCATCCATCATCATCATCATCATCATCATCATCATCATCATCATCATCATCATCATCTCATCATCATCATCAATCATCAATCATCCATCATCATCATCATCATCATCATCATCATCATCATCATCATCATCATCATCATCATCATCATCATCATCATCATCATCATCATCATCATCATCATCATCATCATCATCATCATCATCATCATCATCATCATCATCAGCATCAGTCATCCATCAATGCAGCATCAGCATCAGCATCAGCTCATCATCATCTCAGCACATCATCATCCTCTTCTCTTCCTCTTCAGCATCATCCTCTTCCTCTTCCTCTTTCATCATCATCATCATCATCATCGTCTCATCATCATCATCATCATCATCATCATCATCATCATCAGCATCAGTCATCATCATCAGCATCATCATCATCATCATATCATCATCATCATCATCATCATCATCATCATCATCATCATCATCATCATCATCATCATCCGCCTCCGCCTCCGCCTCCGCCTCCGCCTCCGCCTCCGCCTCCTCCTCCTCCTCCTCCCCCTCCTCCTCCTCGAGATCCTGGCGTCGCATTCTGCTCACACCTGGCGACGTCGCACTCTCTCGGGCCCAGCCGGTCGAAAGATGCTGCAGGGAGAGGGGGTCCAGGGCTCCTGTCGTGGTTTTCTTGCGATGCTGCAGTCTGCTCGCAGCGTCAGATCTCGGGGAGGGCGGCGGTGGAGGAGGCGGAGCGCGGGAGCGGGGAGGTGGAGGGAGATCGTGGGGGGGGGGGGGGCGGAGGAGGAGGCAGAGGAGGAGGAGGAGGCAGAGGAGGAGGAGGAGGAGGAGGAGGAGGAGGAGGAGGAGAAGAGGAGAAGAGGAGGGGAGGAGCAGGAGCTGTAGCATCGGGAGCCGCGAGCGAAGGGAAGAGGGGAGGCCGAGGGGGTCGGGGCCAGAGCCGCACCCCGACAAGCGGACTGGGCCATGCGGGCGGGCGGAGGGGCCCCGCGCACCTCTCGCGACGAGGCAGGGGGGGGGCCTGGTGCACGCGCCGGCGCGGCCCGCGATCCGCCACGGGCGCCCTGCGCACCGAGACCGGGAGGATCCAGACCTCCAAGTCGGAGGTCGCTAGACCTCCTACCCTGACACGTCGACTCGTGAATTGGCCGTTCGCGGTTCGCAAGAGGGCGTCGCGGCCGTTATTCTTGCGGGCCCGGGTCCGTCGGTCCTGGGCCGTGTTCACTTGAGGGTGGTTTACTAAAGGGAGGTTTGTCCACCGCCGACCAAAGTCGTGAGAGGTCGCGACGGGAGGCTCTGGGCTGGCTTCGGCCTCCGGGGGCCTGCTCGGGATGAGAGGCCGGTCCCCAGGAATGGGGTCGAGAACTCCGGGCGTCGACGCTGTGAGAAAGCTCAGGACGTAGGGGTCTGGGCTCAGGACGTCGGGGTGGAGGAGGAGGAGGGAGAAGAGGAGGGGGAGGAGGAGGAGAGAACTTCTCCCACGCCGCCATGCGTGCGGCCAGCCGCCACTGCGGCTCTGGCGAGCGCCTGCCACAGGCGTTGTGCGCGCGCTCTGCCGCGCTCTGCGGCGAGTGCGCCCGCCCGGGGCGGCCTCTGGGGACGCGATGCCCCACGGCACGGCGATCGCGGAGTGCTCCTGCGCTGCCGGAGCCGTCAAGCTCCTCGCCCCCTGAATGCTCAGGACCATCTCGGTAGAGGCGCCCGTGTTGGAGGCCCGCCGGGGGAGGCTGACCCCGGAGTTTGGGGTGGGTGGATCATAGCAGCCCGCAAATTACCACCATCACCGAGATCGGGATCCTCCTGGCTCGGTGGGGGCACACCAACGATGTTGGTGTTGGTGTCAACATCTAGGCCTCCGACCGTGTGCAGACCACTCGACCTTGTCGACGGCATCAGGGTCCACGCCATCGGGAGGACAGGCAGGTGGTGGCCCGGCAGCTAATCCAGGCTGCCAGCACAGTCGTCACTGAGATGGGCCGTCTGGGCCTGCCACTCAACTTGGGCCAGACTTCCTGACTGTCCTCAACTGCGGAGCTGGTCGAAGCGCTGCTGGCGGATCCAAATTGGCCGTTCGACGCTAATTTGTTCGTTTCGACTCACCGCGACTTGGGTGGTGATGCGACCGGCGTCCGCCACAGGCGCGTGCCCACGCAGGCCTGTCGCATCGCTGCTGCTAGCGCCTCGGCTGGCAGGCTCCAGAAAGTTGCTCGCGGGAGGGCGGCGGGTCGGGTTTACAGGGCGGGGCTTGCCGCCAAGGCGACATGGGGGGCCCACATCGTGGGTCTCGGATATTCGGCCCTTTGTGCCCTTGGAGTCTAAGCAGCCCGTTCTTTTGGCCCCCTACAGCCTGGGTCGTCCCTGGGACGCACGGTGCTCCTCAGTTTGGGGTCCCCAGAGAGACCCGCTGTCCCATGTCACTGGCGGCGGTCCAGACTTGTGTCTCTGTCTGGTGGAATACATATGTCTCGAATGCTGTGTTGGCCTCTGCGTTTCAGGATGCCGTGCGCGTGTCGGCCAAGGTGAAACCGTGGAGTGCCGCCAGCCAGCCCGTGGCGCCGTTGGTGCTCTCTTTGGCCAGGAATCGCCGATTGACAGTTTTGGGACGCCTTGGGACCTGTCGTCTTTCTCACCCTCCTCTTTCGAGTTGCGCGCTCGTGAAGCTGTAGCCGATGCCGCCGTTACTGACGAGCAGGCACGTCCGTCCCACTTCGGAAGCGAGTGGATTAGCCGGGGATCTTCTGACCCGGAACAATCCAGACCCGGGTCAGTCAAGCCTTGCAAAATCCTGCAAGATCCTGCAGGATCCTGCACCCAAACCCGGGCCAAGGCGAAGGATCCTGCAAGATCCTGCAGGATCCTGCACCCAAGCCTGGGCCAATGCGACCCTGGCCCTGCAGGATCCTGCAAGAGCGGGCGCTCTGGCCGACCCCCGTTTGCGCCGACCCCCGTCTCTGGAGCCCCGAAGTAAACCGACGTGCCTCAGGCCGGCCCTGGATTTGTTGTCGCGCTAGTCGCTTTCGTGGGCGGCTCACTGCCGCAGTTGCCTGAGGCCTTGTGGCCAACAGGTGTTGGTGCCAGCAGCGATTCGCAGAGCGCTGCCAGGACATCTCGCATCTGTCTCTTTTTTGCAGCGAGAGCCCCAGGACGCTGCTTCATCGCCGACTCAGGTGCCCTGCGCACGCCGCGCGGCGTAGGAACTGCCTGGGCCCTGACGTGGGGGCTGCTGCGGTCGTCGTTTCAACCCTATCCGCACGCGCCCGAGAACTCTTTGCTCGCGGGGTCCTGCTTGACCCGACGAGTTGATTCAGGACCCCGCCCAGCCGTCCCGAGGACACCGCACATAGGTTGAATTGGCCTGCGGAGGGGGTGATATTGGAGGCGGGGTCCCACGTGTTCGCTGACTTTTGAGCTCCTACAGCCTCGCATTCGCTCCGCGGGATGGGCGGTGGTCATGACGCACGGGTGGGGGAAGGTCTTTCGTGCGATCGAAGGGCGTATGCCCCACAGCGCTGCCCCCGACCAGGTTGCTCGTGAATGCGATGATTTCGGCATTGTCTCCCTTGTCCGCCAAGCTCTGATGTCGCCTGGAGTCAACCTTCACATCGACTGTTCTGGTACGGCCGATGTGGCCCGTGATCCGTCCTCCGCAGCGTACCCGGATAATCCTCGGGCGCACCTGTGGCAGCATGTGCACGACAAGCTGGACGGAGTCCTGGTCCGGAAGGTGCCGGCTCACTGCTTGAAGCGGGGCGTGTTGGAAGGAAAACTGAGCCACTTCCAGCTGCTGGGCAACCGTGCCGCGGACTCGTATGCGAAAAAAGGTGCTGAGCTAGGTAGGCTCGCCCCCCGGGACCTCCTTGTGGTTACGGGGTGCCATGAGATGGCCCGCCCCGTTCCCCGCTTCGCGGCTGAGCAGGAGGCCCGGGTCGGAAACCCGGAGGTGTTTGACCGCGTGAGCCTAGACTGGCTCGAGCATGTGGACCTCGACCTCGATCCTGCTCTCCCCCCTCTTCCTCCTCGTGGCGGGGAGTGGTGGGACGGGCGGGGCAGAACGGGCGGGACTGGGGAGGATCATGAAGCGGCCACGTCACGGGCCCCAGCAGGCTGCGACCCAATCGAAGGCCGCCCCTGCTGCTGCTGCTGCTGCTGCTGCTGCTGCTGCTGCTGTCTTGTGGCCTGAGCTTGCCCCTTGGCCTCTGGGATCCATGCGGTTTGGGAGGCCGCGGTGTTCGACTCGAATGGCTTGGCTGCTGGCTCGCTTGCTCGGTGCTCTTCGTGCGAAGCCGTGTGCAAGATAGGATGCCACTGGGGTAGATCTGCTCTCGCGTCGGATTTGTTGCACGCGTGCTCCCAGGGGACCATACGTCTCGCAAAGGCTTCCGTGTCGACAGGCCGACTGCGATTTCGGAGGCATCGAGGTCCTGGCTGGCACCCAAGATGGGGCTGGAGCAGCAGCCCGCCCTTGCACGGCCTCCTGCCGAGGGCTTGAGGCCGACGGCTCCTACTGGGATGGGGGGGGACTTGGCGAAGGGGTTGGCCTTGTTCGGCTTCCCGGATCGGGCTACGGCCGAGGCTCCTGGTACCCGTGCTGTGCGGCGCAGGAACCGCGCGGCTCGCGCCGAACCCAAAATAAATTCGTCTGAGTTTGAACCCCGGCCTGTGGAGCGTCCTTGGCCCCAGGTGGCGAGTTCTTTGAGGCCGATGTGCCGCATTGGTTTTGATGCAGGTTGGAATTCGATCGGTTCCCCAGCGGATGCCGGACTCCTCCTCCTCCTCCTCCTCCTCCTCCTCCTCCTCCTCCTCCTCCTCCTCTTCCTGATAATCATCATCATCATCATCATCATCATCATCATCATCATCATCATCATCATCATCACCATCATCATCATCATCATCAGCAGCATCATAATCATCATCATCATCATCATCATCATCATCATCATCATCATCATCATCATCATCATCATCATCATCATCATCATCATCATCATCATCATCATCATCATAATCATCATCATCATCATCATCATCACCATCACCATCACCATCATCATCATCACCACCACCACCACCACCACCACCATCATCATCATCATCATCATCATCATCATCGTCCTCCTCCTCCTCCTCCTAAGCCTTCTACATCCTCTCCCCAGTGTTCCGCCAAGGGGTTCCACAACAGCTAGGGGGACACATTATCGAATAACTTCGCCAGACTTCGGCCGAACGTTTGGCAAGCAGGGGGCGGCGGTGATTCGCCGTAGCGCCTGGGATTTTGAAATACCTAGAGATCACTTACCACCCTTACCCTGACGGAACCCGTCTGCTAGCTTCTCCAGCGGCGACTGCTTCACTGCCCCACCACTCACGTCGCATTCCATCGAGGCTGACGAAAGCACCGTGCTGATGCCTCGTGTCTCGACGATATCCACAATCCTCTGCGGTACGCACTGCTTCCATTTTCCATCCAGAGTGCAGATCATGTCGAGGATCTCCTGCACCTCGTACCGGAAGGGCTCGTTGGTGTCCTTGTTCAGCACGACCTCGGGGATGTATTGATCCTCGATGGGCACAATCTTTCCAGTGGCGGTAAGGTGCTCCAGCAGAGTGCTCTGGGCCACGTCTTCCGACCTCGACACCACACCCGACGATATCGTCCCGTCCGCGGAGATGTTCGGGAAGACGAACACCTGCACGCCTTGGGCGAAGAGCCTCCCGAAGCCCTCCAGCAGCCCGCCCGGGAGATCCTGCCCTTCCCTGCCGTCCTTGAAGAGGGCGCGCTCGATCGAGTAGCTGCCACCGCCAACTGCGATTGCAATCTTCTCGGAGGTATAGCGCCTCAGGTACGACGCGAGCATGTGCATGGGCCCGGCGCGGCTGACAAGAATGGGGTAGCCCATCGACGACAACGCATTGAATCGTGCTAAGAAGTCTATCACTGCATCCGCTGGGATTTCCTCCATCATCGCTTCTGCGCTGTCGCCCAGGGTGTCGAGTGTCAGCTCAAGCAGTGGCATGGGTGGTCGACCCTTCTCACCAATCGGGTTCTCCTCTATGAGCTTCCTCTGGCTCGCCTCCACAATCGCCTCGTTTGTTCTCGAAACGAAACGGAACCGTCCACGCTGCACGGAAATAGGCCGCTTGTAGAAAGCGAGATTTGGGACGGTGGGGCACATTGCCATGCGATCATCACACTGCTCGAAGACCACGCTCTCAACGAGGCCATACTCGACCAGGTTGAGGGCAATGATTCGATTGTCTACGGACTGCCAGCCAGGCCCGCTGAAGTCGACCCAATTGATCGTCAGCCGCCCGGGCCCGACGTCGTCCAACAGGTGCCGCACGATGGTCTCCGCAGATCGCGCCGCGTCCTTGCACAGGTAGATGAGATTGGCCCCCAGGATGCCGAGCGCATCTCCCTGCTCCGTGGCCGAGTTGTCCGTCATCCGAGCGTGGAGCCAGATGGTGGAGGGCGCCTGCCGAGCCTCCTTCTGGTACATGATGCCGAGCCAGCCCTCGCACTCCCGGTCCGACATGAAGGCCTTCGCCGCGATGGTCGACGCGAAGCTGAAGAACCTGCAGTCGTCGCCCTTCTGCGCGCGGAGGGTCTGCTCCACCTCGTCGTACTCCTGCTGCATCATTTGGAACAGCCGCTCCTTGGACACGTAGCGCTTCGCCGTCCCGTAGATCCTCTTGGAGTCCCGAAACGGTGCGGCGACGGACCGTGCGGTGACCTCGGAATCCCCCAAGACCTCACCGCACGGTCCGTCACCGCACGGTGTTGGGACCCTGGAGGCCCCAGTCGCCCGAGACGTCCTCGGAGAAGGCCTCGAGTCCCAAAACCGTGCGGTGACCATCCCCACCGACTCACCACACGGTGTGGTCAACGCCCCGTTCGGGGGCCCCCGAATCCTGTCGGACATCTGCATGTCGTAGGCGGAGACGGAGCGCGCCACCGTCCCCGCGGCGGCGCCCGCGCGCAGGAACCACCGCGAGACCTCCTGGCCGGCGCCGATCTCGGCGAAGGACCCGTAGAACTGGTCGTCCAGGTTCACGTTGAGGGACCGCTCCTGCAGGGGGAGGGCCACAGGGCACCAATACAGTAGACACACACGATAAGAAA